AAGAAGAAGAAGAAGAAGAAGAAGAAGAAGAAGAAGAAGAAGAAGAAGAAGAAGAAGAAGAAGAAGAAGAAGAAGAAGAAGAAGAAGAAGAAGAAGAAGAAGAAGAAGAAGAAGAAGAAGAAGAAGAAGAAGAAGAAGAAGAAGAAGAAGAAGAAGAAGAAGAAGAAGAAGAAAGACAATAAAGTCTGGATAGTGGACATGGCAGTGCCTGGAGACAGCAGAATAGAAGAAAAGGAACTGGAGAAGATAACAAAATACAAAGACCTACAAATAGAAATAGAATGACTGTGGCAAAGGCAAGCAAGGGTAGTACCAATAGTAATAGGTGCCTTGGGTGCAATCCAAAACAACTGGAACACCACTTGAACACCATTGGCATTGACAAATTCACCATCAATCAATTGCAAAAGGCGGCCTTACTAGGAACAGCTTCCATTCTGCAACAATATCTATAGTGCCATCAAACATCCACATCTGCCTATCCCATGTCCTTGGTAAGGACTGATCATCTTTGTTGCTCTTCTCTGTATTCTTTCTAGAGTCTCAACATCTTTTTTACATCGTGGTGACCAAAACCGGATGTAGTATTCCAAGTGTGGCCTTACTAAGGCTTTATAAAGTGGTATTAACACTTCATGTGATCTTGATTCTATCCCTCTGTTAATGCAGCCTAGCACTGTTTTGGCTTTTTTGGCAGCTGCAGCACACTGCTGGCTCAAATTTAAGTGATTGTCCACTAGGACTCTGAGATCCCTCCCACAGTTACTACTATTGAGCAAGGTACCACCTATACACTACCTGTGCATTTGGTTTTTCTTGCCTAAATGTAGAACCTTACTTTTTTCACCATTGAATTTCATTTTGTTAGATAGCACCCAATGTTCAAGTCTGTCAAGATCCTTCTGTATCTTAAGTCTATCTTCTGGAGTGTTGGCTATTCCTGCCAGCTTGGTGTCATCCCTCAATTTTGATGAGATTCCTATCTATCCCCTCATCCAAATTATTGATGAAAATGTTGAAGAGCACTGGGCCCAAAACAGAGCCCTGGGGCAACGCACTGCACACTTCCCTCCATGTAAATGCAGTTCCACTGAGGACCACATGATGAGTATGGCCAGTCAGCCAGCTACGAATCCATCTGGTGGTGATGCTGTCTACCCCACATTTTTCTTTCTTATCAAATAGTAGATTGGGTTCTACTTTATCAATTGCCTTACTGAAGTCCAAGTAAATTATATTCACAGCTTTCCTGTGGTCCACTAATTTTGTCATCTGGTCAAAGAATGCAATATGATTTGTCTGGCATGATCTGTTTTTGACAAACCAAAGTTGGCTTTTGGTTATGACTTTGTTCATTGATTCATTGCTTGATTATCTTTTCCAGAATCTTCTCAGGTATTGAGGTCAGGCTTATAGGTCTGTATTTCTTGGATCTATTTTTTTCCTTTTTTGAAGATGGGAACTACATTAGCTCTTTTCCAGTCCTCTGGTAGTTCCCCAGTGCTCCAGGATCTTTGAAAACTATAGTTCAGTGGTTCTGAGATCACATCTGCCAGTTCTAACAGAACCTTGGGGTATGATTCATCTGGTCCTGGATTATTTGGTCTAAGAGAGACTTTTACACCAGCCACTACTATCACTAATATTTTCTTAGCTAAAAACATATTGTTTTTAATTCTAAGTATGTGATCCATCCAAGGGGAAAATCAGTTTCATTACTGTTATTAATATTCCTTACTGTATTTGTCAGTATTGGAAGAACAACATTTGTTTCTATTACTGTTTTAGACAGGAAAAATAGAAAAGAATAGAGCTGGAAAGGACCTTAGAGGTCTTCTAGTCCAGCCCCCTGCTCAAGCAGGAGAACCTATATCATTTCAAACAAGTGACTGTCCAGTCTCTTTTTAAAAACCTCCAGTGATGGAGCGCTCACAATTTCTGAGGGCAAGCTGTTCCACTGGTTAATTGTCCTCACTGTCAGGAAGTTTCTCCTCATTTCCAGGTTGCTTCTCTTTTTGGTCAGTTTCCAACCATTGTTTCTTGTCCTGCCCTGTGGTGCTTTGGAGAATAGTTTGATGCCCTCTTCTTTGTGGCAGCCCCTCAAACATTGGAATACTGCTAACATGTCACCCCTGTTTCTTCTTTTCTTTGGACTAGCCAAGCCCAAGTCCTGCAGCCGGTCTTTGTATATTTTAGTCTCCAGGCCTTTGATCATTTTAGTTGCTTGTCTCTGAACTTTTTCCAAAATCTCAACAGCTTTTTTGTAATATAGTAACCAAAATTGGTTGCAATTTTCCAGGTGTGGTCTCACTAGGGTTTTATAAAGCGGTAATAATACTTCATGTGATCTTGATTCTATGCCTCTGTTTATACAACCCAGGATTGTATTAGCTTTTTTGGCTGCTGCTGCACACTGCTGTCTCATAGTCAAGTGATTGTCTACTAGGACTCCAAGGTCTCTCTCACAGTTACTGTTTTTGAGCCAGGTCTCGCCTAATCTGTACTTATACCTTTGATTTTTCCTGCCTAAATGTAAAACTTTCTCCACATTAAAATTCATTTTGTTGGATAGGGCCCATTGTTCAAGTTTGTCAATATCTTTTTAGATTCCGAGCTTGTTTTCTGTGGTGTTGGCTATTCCTGCCAGTTTAGTGTCATCTGCAAATTTGATGAGTTCCCCTTCTATTCCCTCATCTAAGTCCTTTATGAAGATATTAAAGAGTACTGGGCCTAAGATGGAGCCCTGTGGTACCCCACTGCTTACTTCTCTCCATGTGGATGTAGTACCATTGAGGACTACTTGTTGAATACGGTTTGTCAGCCAGTTACAAATCCATCTGGTGGTGATGCTGTCTATCCCACTTTTTTCTAGCTTACTAAGGAAGGCTGTGCAGAGAGTAGTAAGGACAGCAGAAAAGATTATTGGAAGTTCACTTCCTTCTATCCAAGACATTGCATATAAGCGCTGCTTGACCAGGGTCTGCAGTATTGTCTGGGACACTACACTTCCTCTCCATGACCAGTTTTCTTTGTTACCTTGTGGGCAGTGGTGGGATTCAAATATGTGAATAACTGGTTCTCTGGGCCTGGGCAACAAAAAATTAGCTACCGGTTCTGCCAAAGGGGTGAGAACTGGCTGAATCCTACCACTGCTTGTGGGAGGAGGCTTCACGATATCTGAAGCAGAACAACTAGATTCTGTAATATACCATATAGTATCAATCATGTTAACTCTCAAAACTTTTTTTTGCTATGTATTCAAAATTGATGTGATTAATATATATACACATACAAACACACACACATATTTTCTTTTGAGAGCAGGCATCAGAATTTCATTTTTAATATGTACACAGAAAAAGTAATAATGCAGGTTATCTTATCTCATCTTAAATAAAATAAGAAACAGAAATGAACAAATGAATCCATAGTAAGGGTCACCTATTTAGGATATGGCTTAACTGCAAGATCCTTTTAGAAAGCCGAATGGAATGAACAAAGCTTACAAAGATAGGATGGAGCAAAACAGTACAATGGTTCCAAGTCGTCAAACAATGACCTTAAAACAGACTAAGAACAGAATAGTTCTGCCAAGATAATTACAAGAGTTAAGCAATATAAACAGAGCCTAGAATGCTATTGTTAAGCTCAGAAGTATAAAACTGCTTTTCTGTGATCAGGACAAGCATTGGTGGAAGAGAAGATAAGCCTGTGTGGCTAAGCTTATCTAAAATGTGCTCACTGTAGAATTATAGTATATTCTTCATTGTATCAGTCAACTGAGACACAGACGTTTAAGGTCCAAACACATTATAAAACTTACTTTAAAATAGGTATGAAACCTCTATGTTATAAGATAAGCATCAGTTTTCTTCCTCTCTTTTTCATAATAAACTATTCAGAAACAAGTTTTGATTAGATTTCCAGTTAAACAATTACAGAGAAGCATTAAAGCTCCTTATCCTCCTATTCCTACTCAGCACAAATCATTCCACTGCAGGATAAAAGCCTCTTTACTCAAGCTTATACGTTATAATTTAACACGCTGGTCAATATATTTTGTTTTGATTTCCCAGAATAGGGCTGAAAGAGATGGACTGGCTCAAAGTCACCCAGCTGACTTTGATGACTAAGGAATAGAGCATCTGAGTTGCTCCATTGCTATCCAAAACAAAGAGGGAATGGAATTCAATAAATTAGTTTGAGCAGAAACCCTTAGATCAGCTTCAGTCTTGAGCTATGATTCATTGGCTGGCCTTAGAGCCTGCTATTCCCAGGTGGTAGACCACCTGGTTGTTGCCTCTTCACTGTTTTCTTTAGGAGGTTTTTTATCTATGTTTTCTTCATCTCTGAAGTATTGTATTATCTCTATTCCCATTCCCTTAGAAAGTATTTCAGTATCTCCACAGCAACTTCTTTCTGACTGCCAAAAAAAGAAAAAAAAACCCTAATAGTTGCAGGGAAAAAAGGCTTTGCATGAATGAGATAAACAACAACTGGATTTGCATTGTATCTTGACCAGTTTTAGTTAAAACTATTTAGTCAAAACTGGATAAGCTAGGTTACTTTAAATTTAAGTAAATTTGGGGAAGCAAGTCTTGGCTATTTGGTTAATTATGCTTAAATTAATTCAGGAAATTGGGATATTTTGGTGACTAGATAGCACATAATATAAGATCCCAGCCAGGTTTTAGCAACTTAGGCTGATAATAAATGTTAACAGACACTTAAGAGTGTTTGGCAGCCTTTTTTAGCAGCTAATGTTTTATTGCTGCAGTATGTAATATCAAAAGCAGCATCTGGAATCCATGGGCAGTTGCTCAGGTCTACTGGTTCTGTTATCTGGTGATCCGCTGTCTCTTTGCTACAGAAGCTATAGCTGGGAAACAACTTCCTATCTAGATTTCCATCAGCATCCAGTTCAGTTTTATTATAGAAGGCTTCTAGATAATCTGTCCTCAGAATGATATCATGAAGGCTGCAGTAGCAATGACTATAGTCATTCACCTTGGCATATGCTAGCAAGGTTCCTGAATTTATCAGAACATTCAATGTTTCTCTATTTGGATTCAAATTTTCATACTTTAAAAGATTAAACTTATCTGCAAGGTATAACAATGGTATCAATCACTTTATGTTAACAAACATAACTATGTTAACAGAACAAT